CTGTTGAAGCTAAAAATGGGGTTTTTGATGTGTGAGATGTCTGGTGCTGGCATTGCTTTTAAAAGGGCTTTAAATGTTAGGAGATTGTTCAAAGTTGTAGTCTTCAACCTGTCTTGTATTTAAAAGCAATCTGTGAAAGACAAATTCCAGAGTTTGCAGTAGGTGATTTTCAACAGCACTTTTTTTTTTTTCCCCCAAAAAGAAAACAAGCAGCAATAAATGACTGCTTTTCAGGGAGCCTTTTAGTATTTGGTTATTGACTGTTTTGATTCAGACAAGCAGCTGAACCCCTCTTAGAGTACTAACAGGAAAATTAGATTAAGTGCTTTGATTTGATTTCAACAGCTGTTGAAAATGTTCACAATTCTTGATTCCTATTAGAAACTATAGAAGCATGTTAAAGTGACCATTGTTAAACTGATTTCTTTGTAGTATGGTTTTTTTAATATTAGATAAAATAACAGATTTGAGCATAGTTTTGTCATGAAGTTATGTGTGTAGTCAGCAATGCAAGTTTGGCAGTGGAGAGGTAATAAAAAGCTGCAACATTTTGACAGCTTCCACCAAATTTGCATTATTTCCAGATGAAAGTATAAGGAAATCAATTTATTTTGTTGTTGCATCCTGATTTATCGCAGTACTTGAATTTTGTCTGTCATCAAAACTGCGTACTGTCAACTAAGACAAAAGCAATCACGTATTTGGTAGGCACTGATGCTTTTCCAAGCTTCACCATACATTAATGTGGTAGAAAAAGTATTGAGAAAATTAATGATTTTGTTTGATAAATGTGCTGCCACTGAAATGTCAGAGTATCAGCTTTTGTTCACAGTAGCAGAATTACTACTAAAGAGCGCTGCATCTACACTATGGCTTTTTACACATGTCAGCATGGCTCCTAGTAAAGCACTCTGCTCGCCATGTGCTTCATGTGCCTTCACAGCAAGGCTGTTTGCTGCTGCCTTAGTCAACAGTATGAACGCCCCCAAAGCCTTAACCAAGCCTATAATCTTTCATGACACTGACATTTAATGTGCTTTCCCCCCCTTATTTTGTTTCCTATTACTTTGAAGAGTACTTTCCCAAAAAGTGCTTTGATTTTTAGGACTGTCTAGCTTTTTGCACGTATGTTTGGTTTCATTAATGCACAACGTGTTCAGCTGATGGCTTGGTGACAATGTAATGGTGTTGGTGAGTCTTGAAAGCCAGATACTTAATGTGGGCTTCTTTGTCTTGTATGGGTGGTGTACCCAGCTTCTGCCTGCTCGCTGTGAAGTGAGAAGTAACGCTAGGGAAGAAAGAAGTTGTGAATGGAAAGTGTTTTACACAGATGGTGTGCTTGCGAGTGCCCATTTGACAGGCTATGGGAAAAGTTTAGCTGAGGGACCTTATTTTCAGCTTTTCCAGGAATAACTTGTATAACTTTCCTTACTGTATCAGAAGGAGCCTTTTTTTTTTTTAAACTGGGACGTTATATGTGGATTTACTTATAAATCTCTTATCTGATTAGGCTGACATTGATATTTAATGTATAAGCAGAGTGATAAATAAAATTCTCTGATTTTTTTTTTTTTTTTACTGTGAAAAACATGGCAGGTTATGGGCAGGTTAGGTGAAAAAGCCGTAGGAAAGGAGTGAAGTGGAACATTTCTTGTAGAAGTAAGAGCATGTAGGTAGGATAGATTTAATTATTTTTTTTTTTTTACAAATATACTACTTTGCTTATCGTAGATTGATGTGACGGTCTGGAGGGGGAGCTAGAAATGCATTTGAACATTTGGAAGATAATAAGCAGGCTTGTAGTAACTTTTCTCATGTGTAAGCCAGCGTGACTTTGTGCACTTCATAATGTAGCTGAATTTGTGTAAATTATCATAAAGATATGGAATGGCATGTCCATTCCAAGCCTGTTGGTTAATTGATGATCTTAAAGTATTTGCTTCAAACAGACAGCCCTAAGATTTGTGCAGAAATAGTAAGATACATTAAAAACTGACAAAGAAGTTTTTCCTGAGCCCTTTTTCCTTGGAAATGGCTAAGTAGTGTTTTTTAAAAATCAGTTCAGGGAAGAAAAACTTTGATAGAAAATTTCAGCCCAGTAGGGTATGCAGCTGAAAACTACCAGTTGTCCTGGTGATGTGAAACACTGTGGTACCGCTATTGAACTTCGAGTCGGATTGTGAGTTTTCAGTGGAACTAGGAATGTGTCTTTCAGACTTGAAATAGAAACTGGTCACCAGAGGGGAAGATGTGGCAGTATAGTTGTTCCTGTTTTGCTCTTGGCTGTATTCTCAATCTTTGCTTCTGTTGCGTGGGTTTTAGTGCACTTTCCTAGGTGCTGCAGGCATTGAAAAGGCAAGGCATCCAGGCCTTGGATATTTTTCAACTAGGCCGATGAACTTTAAAGGACAGTTTCTGCAGTTTTGTTTTTTCAAGATGTCAGTATTTTAGCTTATTAAATGTAAAATGATGATATGTAATAGTTGCACTGTAGAGCTGAAAACATTTTTGAAGTTTAACCTTGGAGAAATGTCCTGTAGCTCTGGCAGTCCCTCCATTTTAATTTGTTGACTCAATAGGCTTTATCATCATGTAGAGCATATAATTAGAATACTTACAGTAGTTAAGAACAACTAGGGGAAAAGCAAACAAGAATATTTTTCAGACTTAAACTCAAAAATAAGGTGTTCACCTCTGTGTTATGGTAGAAAAGGTCCAAAGCTCAAAACTACAACAGTGTGTTTCTGTGTAAATCATGTTTGTGCAACTGCTGTTGATAGTTTAAAACAAATTTATGCATCAAACAGGAAAAAAACCTGAAAAACCAAAGAACATCCCTTTTTATTTATGTAAGGTCTTTTTTGTCCCTTGGGTTTGGGCACTTTCTTAGAGGTGGTTGATTTTTTTTTTTTTTGTGGGAGCAAGTAACAGACAGAAAAATTAACAACATGTTTTTGGTGTCTGAACAAATGAGTTTCTTCCACATGTACCTGATAATGTGGTAAAGCAACTTGTTTAACACGGGTGCATACACACTCAGTACAATACTGAAACAAAACAGTTTTGAACAGCGTTCTTTGAGTTTAAGATGACCGAAAAGTAGTGATGTAACTAAATCATTACTGCAAATGCTATTTTGGGGGTTCCATTCTTGGTATTTTCCATGTGTTTTATGAAGTAGCTAGTGGAGTTTGGGCTCGTGCAAACCTCATGAGGTTCAACAAGGCCAAGTGCAATGTCCTGCAGCTGGGTTGAGGTGATCCCAAGCCCAAATACAGGCTGGGCAATGAGTGGATGGAGAGCAGCCCTGCTGAGAAGGGCTTGGGGGTGCTGGTGGATGAAAAACTGAACATGAGCCGGCAATGTGCGCTTGCAGCCTCGAAGGCCGATTGCATCCTGGGCTGCATCAAGAGAAGTGTGGCCAGCAGGTCGAGGGAGGTGATTTTCCCCTTGTGCTCTGGTGAGACCCCACCTGCAGGGCTGTGTCCAGATCTGGGGTCCCCAATACAAGAGAGATGTGGACCTGCTTGAGAAGAGAAGGCTCTGGGGAGACCTTATAGCGGCCTTCCAGTCTTAAAGGGGGCCTGCAGGAAAGGTGGGGAGGGACTCTTGATCAGGGAGTGTAGTGATAGGACGAGGGGTAATGGTTTCAAACTGCAAGAGGGGAGATTAGATTAGATAAATGGAAGAAGCTCTTTCCTGTGAGGGTGGTGAGGCACTGGAGCAGGTTGCCCAGAGAAGCTGTGGCTGCCCCCTCCCTGGCAGTGTTCAAGGCCAGGTTGGATGGGGCTTTGAGCAACCTGGTCTAGTGGGAGGTGTCCCTGCCCATGGCAGGGGGGTTGGAACTAGATGGTCTTTGAGGTCCCTTCAAGCCCAAACCATTCTATGAACTGGACATACTTGTAAGTAGATGGCATCATTTCTTCATGGTTATGACCATCATCTTTCTAGCTCTTCTCTCTGTCTTATCTTTTCAGTTGTAAGATCCAAGCAGATTTCTTTGTAAAATGTGATGTATTATTTCATTTAGATGCTACAAGTCTTTTTTTTTTAAGTACCTTAGTGAAGCCTTAAATTTCTCTCTTTATATAATATGGAAAATGTTTTTTTGCCGTGAATAATCACAAATTTGAAATTCACAAATTTCTCCATGCTGCTTCAAATTTGTGGTTTTGAATCATGCAAAGATTTTTGTGATCTCTGATAAACTGCTGGAAAATAGCTTTCTGTTGGAGCTTGTAAAATTCATGTGTTGTACTTGTTTCTGTTGACCTTATGAAAACCATGGAATTAAAAAACCATAAAATTAAGATACTGTCAGTTAAATTGACAATTCATAGCCCTCTTTTACCTGTAATATATTTTTGTTATGATACTTATTCACAATTGTCATCATCACTTAATTATGTGATGTACTAGATACATATCATCATACTTCATGAGAAGGCTTATTGGCTAGTTTTGTTGTTTCAGTGAATTTTACAGTTCACTGTAACAGTTATAAATTACAGGTTCAATCTGTAATTTAACCAAAACCGCTATCGACTGTAATTTATTTAAATGTTCACTGATTTCTGTCTCTAGATTATTTGCTTTGTTGAGAATAAAAGTGGAAGCTTTAGGTTTAAATTTTTTTTTCTTACTGGTTTCCAAGTCTCCCTCTCTTTCGTGAATGTAATGTATTTGTGTTTTGATACAAAACAGTTCTAGGCTATATTAAAGATGACTTTGTTTTATGATATAGAGTGTGTTTTTGACTTGATCCCATTTAGATGTGGTGTCTGCTATTAGATCTTCTGGACTCAACAATCAAATGTGGAAAAAACATTTTTGGTGGTTGAAGTTCATACTTTTGCAAGATTAGTACATAGTTTCCATTATATCATGAAGTATTCTGAACATGTTTAGCTGAATGTTTTTTTTTAAATTCAAATAGTTGTCAGATATAATTAAAGACTTTTTTTTTTGCATTCTGATAATGTGATTATTTAATTCAGGGTTTCATATGATGAGGCTTTTATTATGGCCAGTGACCCCTTGGAAGGCTTTCATGAAGTGAACCTCGCTTCGCCTACTACACCAGATCTCCTTGGAGTAAATGAGCCAGGGACTCAGGAACAAACTACCTCACCCAGTGTTATCTACCGACCACATCCTTCTGTTGTGTCCTCTGCACCAATCCAACCCAACGCGTTAAATGTCTCTGACCTTCCCACACAACCTGTTTATTCATCTCCCAGACAACTGAATTGTGGAGACGTATCAGGTGTCAGGTAAGTTCTGTAGATCTTTTTATTTAAATTGCTGATGCTTGTTGCATTTAAACAGTTTGCTTTACTGAAGATATAATTTTAATATTACTTACAATGTTGTAATATTTAATTGTGTTCATAATGGTACATTCAACACCACTACTGCCGTTTCTGAAGTATTTCTTCTTAATGTATTATATAAATAAAAAAATATATCACTCTCTTTACAGCATCAATGTTACCGACGCAGTACTTTGTTCTACCTCTGGACCCCAGGGTGGGTCATTCAATCACAATAATTCCAGAAAGGAGAGCAATAACGTAGAGAGAGAGTTTTTGCAGGGTGCTACAGTAGCAGATGTTGCTGAAGGAAATGAAGATATTTTTGGGTTGAGTACAGACAGTTTATCTCACTTACGGAGCCCATCTGTACTGGAAGTAAGAGAAAAGGGCTATGAACGATTGAAAGAAGAACTTGCAAAAGCTCAGAGGGTAAGGCTTGTTGTCTTGTCTCCTCCTGCTTTTTCTCTCTCTTCAAAGTGGTTCTAATATTGCACAATGATAGATGGACCAGAAGATGCAGTCTGAGTCTACTCATTTCTTATAGAATTATTAGGATGTAATTGTTTCATGTAAAGTTTCTGAATGTGTGCAGTGCTAATGTCTTAGAATTATTCTTTGGTAGTGTTGGTTTTTTTCTAGTGCTGCTGCTGCTTAACCATGGAAAGCTTTTGCTGCAATATCTGGTTAAACAGGCTTTTTGAAATGTAGACCATTCCTTATTTCTGACATTTCAGAACAGGAGTAATTTTCTGTCATTCTATTGTTACTGTATAAGTATTTATAGATGCTGATTATATACCTCTCGAGTCATCTTTCTCCTAGAGTTTAAAAGTGTAGCATGTGTCATGGAATATAGAAATACTTTAGAACAGGGGTACTTGTGATGTTTCATAGGGGAATGCCTGCACAGGAAAGAAGCAATAAAGATGTCACTGGTGTTCTTTGGAGTACTGTTACACCACACTTCAAATTGAATATGGATACCTTTGAAGATACCGTGGCTCAATTCATTAATATTTGTAAAGCGCTTTGTCTTGTTTGGATGGATGGTGCTATATAAATGCAAAGCCATTATTTATCATTTTAACATCCCTCTGTGCTTAAACTTTTGAGTAGATTTTGTGCTATTTGTGTCTGTGCCCTTTCCTCTCCTCTACATGATTCCATTCTTGTTTAGATTTGAGATCATCTTATCTTGTGTTTGAACTTGTTTTCCTCTGTTTGTTACCTCATCTTGTTGAATGTAGTCACCGTTTCTGTCATTGTTGCATTTGCCCTTGTTAATGTAAATCTTAAATGTGGATTCTGACATCACTGCTTTTGTTGATTGTTCTATTGCTGAGTAGTTGCTTGCTTTGCTAATGTGTTTGTTTGCTTAGCATTTGACCACTGAAAGAAAACATTAACCTGAGCGAAGTTTGAGGATCTTGCATGTGAATATATAATTCTAGCAGTTAAACTTGGAATCTCTAGAAAGTAAGAACAGATTGAAGTTTAAACTCTAGAAAAGCTCTTCCAGCTCCTGACAGGATACCAAAGTTCAGCCAATGTACTTGAAAACCGCAACTCAGATCTGCTACTGTTATCTTGGAATTATCTGCAGATCTTATTCCAGTGTATACCACTTTGTCTCTATTTGAAATGTTTCCTATTTCACTCTGAAATTTAAGGTTGTTTTTGAGGAAATGGCATAAAGGCTGCTAGGACATACTAGCTGCATATTAAATACTTTCAAACCCTTTGTATCGTCTTGACAAAAGCGATTCAGCACTAACTTGAGACTGTTGGTGTCAAAAGTTCTTGCTAATTCTCAACCCATCGGGTTGATTCTTACCAGTGTTGTGCTGGATGGGTAGCTTATTTTGTCCACTTGTCTTCCTAAACTTGCACTGTTTCCGAGTTGCTCAGTAACACAGGAGTCATGGCAGGAGTCTTTACAGTCTGTACAACAACAAACCCTATTCCTTCTGTACGATCTCCTTTCTTCCACTTCCTGTATGAGGACTAGTTTTTTCTATCCCTAATTAATCTCTTGATTGCTTTCTTCCAAAAGTCATGGCTGTTCGCAAACGGCTTTGCCCACTCTGCGATATTCAGTATGTCATGCAGTCCAACTTTTATTTCCAAGTATGTTTACTTTTGCCAATGAGTACTTGGTTTAAAAATCTGTAGGTATATAATTAATAGGTAGTGCTTGAGTATAGCTGGTTGTGTTTTGCATAATGATTTTAAATTCTTTGTAAGTCTCTGTGCTGTTTATTAGGAACAGTGAGAAAAATGAAAATTACAATTTGTGCTTGAGTTTTATGAGCTCCTTGAGTCTGGAAACCTTACAGACTACAGACTTCCCAGGAGTGAACAAAGTAAACACAAATTTGCTGTCTTGCATTTTTCCTTTGTTCCAAATTTCTTACCCAAACAGTATGCTATTGTAGTATGCATTAAAGACTTACTAGAATTTGTTGCGGTTGTGATCAGAAAAGGAACTAGAAAGGAAATAGGAATTTTGAAGCTTAGGGATCTGCTATCTAATTTTTTTTTTTCATGTCTGTGCTTGGAGTGCAAATTTTTTTCTTAATATGCTGTTTTATGTATTAGAGAATATACATATTCTCTATGTGGAATTGTTAAGACATTTAATATGGTTCTTGAAGAAATTATTCACGAGTAAAGATTTATTCTTTTTTTTCTTGTTCCTGTATGCCTTGTATTTCTTAAGACTGCAGACTTCCCCTCTCAAAATGAACAGTATTGCTGGCAAAATTGTTAAATAAAAACCAAGTCTTTCAAAAACTTATTTCTTGATGAGAGGAAATACACTTTTTACTTCAGTCCAGATTGGTTGCAGCACCAAATCGTGTCATAAGATTGGGAGAAAGGTTGTGTCAGAGGTAACAGCAGGGCAGCATCCTGGAGCATATAAGATTGGATATACCTTTGCCTTAAAAGGCCCCCTTAATTAAAATGACATAGAGTTTTCACTCTGTGAGACCATTCAGGTAATTTTTTGCTTATTTTTTCACTGAAGACTTAATTTCTGGCTATATTCTGTAAGGAGGAGCTGAAGAGCCCTTGCTGTAGATGATCTGAACCTTTCTCCTTGTTTTGTTACCCTTTTAAAGCAGCATCAGGAAAACTGACAAGGTGTTAAAAGGGTTAGTGATTCAGTGCTTATCTCCTCATGTCTCTCTGCATTTGCATTTTTCCTGACATGTTTGGATTGAGCTGTGTCACCGTGGTTACTGAAGGTAGATCAACCACGTGTAGATAACATCTGAGAGAATAGTGGTGGTATTTTGATATATGGTATTTCTTGATGTGTGGGTTGACTGGAGTCCTTGCAAAGGAATACCTTTTGTTTACTTTTTATCTTAATTAACCAGCACTTTGCATGTGTTTTGGATAGCTTGCTTGTAGTTTCTGAGCTGTGGTACTTCAGAGTCATGTTTTCCTTGATTTTTTTTTTTTTGTGACTTGGCCCTGAAGTTATTTCCTCGTCAATCAGACTGTCAATATAATGATGTCATCCGTGACTGCGGAGAGAAAATTAAGTTTCTGTGTTGATATGTTTTCTCTTGGAGTGTTGAAATTATTGGCTGTTGCTGATGGTTAGCCCCCTTCTCTGATGAAGAAAGAGCAGTCTACCAGAGATGTTGGTTGCAAATACTGTATTTGGTTTGAGAATGAGTTCCATGGTCCCACAGTCTGTAGAGTAAGATCTGTAGGCTTGTTGGTAACAAGTAAAGCTGTGTTTGACTTTTTGTAGCAGAAATCTGAGTTACTATTATTTCCCTAGTTTGAGATGCTTTTCCACAGTGATACAGTGATTCTTGTGAAAGAGGTGACAGTGCAGAATGTGGTATTGTAAATTTCAACAGAATTTAAGAACCTGATCCTCAGATCTAGGTTTTTCTTTCAAAGGCTTCAAATTCTGTATGCATTCTTCATCTCAGAAACAAACTTGAGTGTTACAATTTGATTTCTTGTCTTCAGATCTGGTGTGTTGATGCAGATTTTTTCCATTGTTCTGCCTGTATCGTCAAAGCATCCAATGTAACAGGCTATTGCCTTTATTACAGTGTTTCTGCACAGGCTGACACTGGCAGTTAAATCTCTTTATTTTTCCACAGTAAAACATGACATTTTAAAACTCTGCATGGATGAATGAATAGAGAGATTCACAATAGATATGCAGGAGTTCCAGTACTGTGATACAGTACATTCAGCATTTTTAAATTTCTGTTGTCATTTGCTTATAACTTAACAAACAATAACAATGAGGATGGTCTAGAATAATATAATCCCATAACTCCACTGAAGAGTATGCTTTCAAAAAGTTTTTTCTAAAACTGAATTGCAGTTGAATTGGAAGGCCACTGAGTTGTGATTGTTAAAGATGAGGTGTTTTAGCAGTTCCGTGCTGTCTTTTGAGTGTTGAAAGCTTTTGGTTTCTCTGATGCTGCTGTACTGTATCTTAGGCATAGAAATTTTCTCAGGTGAGTAGAAGACTACACGCAAGCCAAACAAAAGCATCTTCACCCACACCATAAGATAATTCTGTAGTTTGTGAAATGCTCTTATCTCTGAAAAGATATTCTGGGCCTTCTCTCACTTAAACCCCCTTGTAAATGTGGTTGCAATGGACTAATTTTTATGTAGCTTGTTTAGCTTGGATGCTGAGTGAAGACCAGTCAAATAGAAGTGTATTCTAGTATGAATACAAACTTTTTTTGGCAACTTCGGAATTCAGCAGTATCTGATGGTTCTGATTTTAGGTGATACCTGTAGAAAAATCTTCCTTCTTTCCTTGGTCTTCTGCATCTAGTTCTCATTTGGTTAAATGGCTGAACGTGATGCAGGATGATTTTTCTTTCTAGAATTTAAAATTTTGGTTTGAGAATACGGTTTTGAAGCCGTAATTTGCATTCCTTATCTCACTAGTTCTTTCTAAAGACTCACCTTGTAGTCTGTGAAGATCAAAGTGAAATAACATGACTCTTTGATACAGGGGTTTGGGGGGTTTGGGTTGTGTAGTTGTTTGTTTTTTTTTTTTACTTTAAGTTTTTTTTCCATCCAAGTTAAATTTTTTTATTGTCTACTTGGGTAATTGTGTGTGGTGTGCTTTGTAATAGCTCATCTTCTTCATGTAGTTACTTTTCCAGCACAGTAGTGTGGGAAGGACTGCAGCATGGATGGTTAGTCTAGCCCATGCAGTTGTCTTTTCTGCCTTTACCTTGTGTATGGCTGGGAAGTCTCCAGTAGTGCCTTTGAGACAGGCAGTGGTAATGTTCCTAATAGCTGCTAAGCTTTTTGCTTTGGTCACTCTTTATTTCTGCCCTGCTTAAAAAACCTGAGCTATTAAACTTGCTTGGCAAAATAATATGTCATATTATGCTTCTCCTGAATCATGTCATGGAAACTTGCCCGGTGTTTGACAAATCTAGCTAAGCAGCCATGCGTAGTAGACTGCCTGGTGGTGTGTCCTTTTTGTTTTCATTAAGTAGCTTTACTTGTCTGCCTTAATTTTAATCTAAACCCCCTAATCTTTCCAGTTGCAGGCAAAACTGTAACAGTCTTACTTAAAATAGTGTGTTGATAGTGGTAGCCCAAAAGTGAACCTGGGGTAGTTCCACCTTCATTGTGAGTTTCATAACTCTTGACCTGAATATTCGTATAACCTCCTTTTAAGATGTATTGATGTGTATGTAGCATTTTCCTTACAAATCAGGGAAGTAAGCCAAAGGAAATGTATTCATGTTTCTCCGCACTTGCAGGAACACATGGAACTTGAGCTTTAAGCATTTTGCATCAGAATCTTTCATTTCCTTAAGAACCATATTTTATATGGGAAATACTTTAAACCAACACAAAATTAATTAATTAAATTTTATTTCCCCTTTCTTTTGTTCTTCATTTTTCCTGTATTTTTTTCTCTTTGGCTTTTTGTATTCCTTTTTCCTTCTATTCCCTCCATCTGTAGCTATTTTCCTGCCTTTTGTTTGTTTGATATTTAGGTCACTGTGTGCAGAACAGTAGCTAGTAAGAAAGAGTTGAGTACTATTTGAGAAATACTACGTTTGGGAAAAAACCCCACATCATTTAAGTAGTACCTTTCAAAATAGTTAAAAGGTTGCATATGGAAAGCAAAAAATCAAAATAGCAAACAAACTAGACTAAAAAAAAAAAAAAAACCAAAACCCAAAACAATCAAAGTGTCAGAAGTTAAAATGAAATAAAAGAAAGGAGAAGGTAGTGCCTTTGATACTACATGAGTCTAGAACAGTCCTTAAACACTTGTTGAATTTAGGAGCTGAGGTCAAACAGGACCCTTCATTTTAGATGAAAATCCATTGCCAGTTTCACTGCAGAAATTGAGTGCAAGACCTAATACCAGTATGCAACAAGGCAAGGGGTAGTTTCCTGCATCATTCTGTACTGCATTACTCAGTCATGAAGGCTTTGGGAGAAATGCTGACCACCTCCCAGAAACACAAGGGAAGCTGCCGTTCGGGCCTTTTTATGACTCTGTAGTGACTGGCCTCACAGTTTTCTGAAGGCAGCTATTCTTTGGTTTCTGGAGGTTTTCAAAGCAAAATCATTGCTAGATTTTTATTTGGAGTCTTTAACATGCCAGTGACAGGCTTGGGTCCTGCAGTTCAGGAGTGATGGTAGTGTACTAGCTACCTTGGCAGGGGGAAAAGAAGAGGAGGAAGAGCTAGATGGGGATGGGAGGGGAGTTATGGCCAAAACAAAAAAAAAATGCTTGAAAGGTCAGAATGGGCTGTCTGGTGCTTTTCTTTCCCCTTTTCTCTCCATCCATCTCTTTCTTGCAAGAGATTCCAGGGTTTAATGGTTGGGGAAGGGGATGGGAACCCTTCTTTCAAATTCCTTGTCAAACTTCCCTTTTTCTCTGCAAATTACCCCACTTTTCTGTCAGACTTGGGACAGTACAGATGAGATTGGGTACGTGTAACCCTTATACTGCCAAATCTGTGTTAAAATCTTACTGTAAAAGTGGTATGGCCAGGCCTTCTTCACTCAAATTTTAGTGGTGTAGACAACATTTTGAATTTCATCGAGCTGCTTTAATTTGTTTTATATATCTGCGTAAAGAGCAAGGATATAATTACAGTATGATTTTGGAATTGTATTAGTTGTAAGGAGATATGCAGGAGACTATTGATAGTAAAATATGTTTTAAGATTCCTTTTAGAATTGAGGATTCTCTTGAGACAAACCTTTTTTTTTTTTTTAAAGCTTTACTTCTAAGTGTCTGTTAAGGTATGGGTAAACAGAACTGGTATTCTGTCTGTCCCAATTAATTAATTTTATGTGTATTTTAAGTGACTTTAGTCTTCTATACTTCTAGGAAAAAAGCTTTTTTTTTTTTGCTTCAGAGTATTTTGGAAATGCTTATGTCTAGCTTAGAGATACTTTAGATTGGCCTGGTACATGTCTGTATAGCAGGAAGAAATAGCTATATATGTACAGCATTCATTTAATTGCTTCTAGTGTTAAGATTAATATTTTGAAGGCTTTGTTTAGTAAAGGTTTTATGTTCCTCTGATTATTTTTTCTTTTTCTACCCCCTCTCTGTGGTATTAGCTTTAAAAGGCCAAATTACTACTCTAAGTCAGAATAAATAACTTTCAATTTTCCATAGGAGCTGAAGTTAAAAGATGAAGAATGTGAAAGGCTTTCTAAAGTGCGAGATCAACTTGGACAGGAGTTGGAAGAACTTACAGCTAGTCTGTTTGAGGTTTGTTGGAGTCTTCGATGTGATATACTTAAAGGAAGCTGAGTCAGATGTTTTATGTAGAATCAGTATATTGTATGCTGAATTTTTCTGCAATAAGCTTATAGAGGGATTTGTGAAGATTTCTGAAGACCCGGGTGTGTTGAAGTAGATGCTTAAGAGCAAGCAGTAGACTTCTCACTTAGATGAAAGAGACCTTGTTGAGCTTGTCAATCTGCCTAGACACAAAATGAAGAAAATGAGGAAAATATACCAGAAAGCTTAAAACTATTTAGGCTTATTTTTTGTCATAACTGTTTTGAGACAGCTTCTCTGTCTGACAACAAGGCTATCTAGATAAGAGCTAAATTTGCGGTTGTCATGGTGACTGAATAAAAAAACAAATGTGGTTTCAGATTAATGGAGGTAGCAAGTACATAACTATGCTTTCAGCTTTCGAATTTTGGGTCTGGCAGCATGCTACTCCCACAAACTTGAAAAGAAGCATTAATACTGAGTGATGTACCAGGGTGGAACCTGATTACCAAGTGAGAAGCCTGAACTTTAAGTGGGACCTTTTCATTTGAGAAAAAGGCAGTAGTGCCAGGAAAGATTGTGAGCTTGTATTACACAGAAGAAAAATCTTAAATCCATACTTGAAGTAGGATCAGTTCTCATTTTGTCATAGGAATATATATAGGAATGCCTAGAGGCTAAATTGTGGTACCTATAACTGTCAGAATATATTTCATAATCTGGAGATGATTTATTTGTTTACTAAATCGTTAAGTATTGGTTTTCAGCATGTGCGTAAAGATATAACATAACATTAGGTACGTTTTAGAAGCAGTATCTAAACCTATGCTGTTGTATTTGTATAAAAGTGCTATTACAACCTTGAAAATACTGACATTCAAAACTCAAATTACAAAGTGCTCTGTGGGTTGGCAACGCATTTTATTTCATCATCTCAGTAGGGCAAAGTTGCTTAAAATATTAAGCAGTTCCTGTGTGTAGAGAATAAATGGGAGACTGGAAAGGTACATTTTAGCATAAATACTTGTGTATGTTGGGGGGCGGAGGGGAGGAAAATGTTGGGCAGGTGTTGGAATAAAAATAAAATTATCACTGAAATTTTATATTAATGACACTTCATAACTTAGAACAATGTATCAATTTGAAGCTATGTTTGATATATAGCGTATTAGTAATAATTATTTGAATTTTAATTATTCAGAACTGTTGTGGGCATGTCACCTGAATTGTATTTTGTGATTTGATTTCACTAGGAGGCCCTAACAAAACACAGTATTAAGGTTTCTTGATTTTTGCACTGGGATCTACAGCCCTTGAATTCACATTCTGTTCTGAATCCCACTAATTTCAGTGACCATAGAGGTGGATATGCTACAGCTTATATTAATGCCATCCCAGTGGAGGATGGAGACTTGTTTTGCACAGCTGGGTGTATATGTTACATTATTACACTGTAATAGCACTGTAACATGCTTTGCTTTCAAAGGTGCATCACTAAGCAGAAACTGCATGGTCAATGTTAAATGTATCTGTACACATTGTATAAATGTGTATGTTCCCATTCCTGCATGTGTCTGTTGTTACTTAAGAGAATTTTACAAACCCATGATATACAGCTGTGGTGTATGCCAGTGGGAGCCAGGTCTTTTTGGTATGATGATGTATGAACTTTTTTGTTTTATTTATATAGCGTCCAGATACGTGCTAGGCGCTTTACAGATATGAGAAGGATTCTATCCCAAGTAATTTAGTTGGTGGCCCTGATCTTTCAATCTTTGTTACCTTCAGTAAGTACCAAGAACAGTAATTTGATCACAAGCGCAAATTGCTGGATCAGAGCCTAAACAAATACATTATGCAGACAAAAGGCTTAGAGGTATGAGGTAAAAGGATGTTTAAAAAAATCCCCATTCCTTTTATGCTTTCTTCTTTATTGGCTTAGCCTTGTTTCTTTACTGGGATTGGTTTTTAGTGCTTTTTCTGTTCTACTTAGGAAATGTTTATTATTCCACAAACTATTTTTAAGCTGTTGCTTTGTCTGTTTTATTGATGGCAAGAATTTAGACTTGGTAGTTGTTTGACCAGTTCCTTCATGCAGAAATTTACAGTTGACTGAAACTGGTTATTCTGGGTAGAAGTTCTTTTGAACGTGCTACTGTGCTCATATTGCTTTTGTTGCTACTTGTTGAGTCTTTCTCTTGGGGGTCAAGGAACTTGACTTGTCAGCCACTAAAGCGTGACTGGAACCTGGTGTTCGTGACAGGTATTGTTCCTGCTGGAGGGGGGGTGGGGGGAGTTGCTGAATTTGAGTCTGGGCTCAGGACCAAGAAGAAACTTGGTGGGCCAGCAATGAGTCCAAATGATAGATTTGTAGGTATTTTTTGGTCTGTAACTATTTAATTTCAAACCGTTGCACAACTTATTGTTCACAAGTAGTCTCTGTGAAGCAAAAGTGTGTCCTTAGGTGTTTGGTTTTTTTACTGGCTCTTGTAAATTTGTGTGAAGCATTTACACTAGCTAAACATTTCTTATAGGAAGCACACAAAATGGTTAAAGAAGCTAATGTCAAACAAGCTGCAGCAGAAAAACAGTTAAAAGAAGCACAAGGAAAAGTGAGTTTTTTCCAACTTTCTTGCTTTGTCTTCCCGTGGTTAAAAATCTAAAGTGTGAATCATAAAGATGTAAATAGAGCATTACCTGTATAAGTTATTAAAATATATACTAAGTTGTTTTGTGTTCCATTGACATATTCTTAGCTAGCGCCCATGGCCAGAGCTGGTGTTCCAGCATCGTATCAGATAGCTAGCAAGGTGCGTAGGAAGCCAGTGTTACTGCAGTTGCATAAGCATCTGGTGTTAGTGCTGTTGGAAGATGAAGTCTTGATTTGAACCAAGATAACTGGAAATATTGTTAAATGGTTTAACATACAGCCTAATACGATATTGTTGTTTGTTAATGACTATTTTTTTTTTCCCCCTCCAAGATTGATGTCCTCCAGGCTGAAGTAGCAGCATTGAAAACACTAGTACTGTCTACTTCACCGACATCTCCAACTAAGGAGTTTCAGTCTAGTGGAAAAACTCCTTTTAAGAAAGGCCATGCAAGAAACAAGAGTACAAGCAGTGCTATGGGTGGCAGTCATCAGGACCTCACCATGATGCAGCCAATTGTAAAGGACTGTAAAGAGGTAACAGTACAAGGATTGTCCTCTTTTTTGCTGATAAGTTGGCTTTATAGTTTACTCACAGTAAATCTAGTATATATTCAATCTTCATGTAATACTGACTATTTTAGAAATATTTTTCATTAATGAAAGAAAATTCTTCTTGCATACCAATAGATGGTGATTTTTCCAAGTCTTATTTACCTTTAAATCATTGAGGGAAGATGAGAGAAGATTTTTAAATAATGGAATTAATAATTTAAAGATAGGAATGAAAAAAAAATGCAGTATAACTGAGTGATAAGTCCTGGTGGCTTTTTACAAAGTCCATCATAGGAAGTTCATAAACTTTCATAAATGTTTCATAAACTGTCATAGAAAAGAGGAAGAGTCATTTTATAGATCAATAATTGGTGAAAGAGGCCAGGGAAAAGATGGAATCAATGATTTATTAGAGAACAGGAGGAGAGTTACCATTAGAGTCCTGGAGAGGCCTGTGTTTGTTTTGTTTTGTGTGGTTTTGTTTGTTTATTTTTTTTTTTTTAAATGTACTTATTCAATTGAAAATGGGGAAATAATGAGGTGACAGGTTGATGCTTGAGTCCTGGGAATGGTAGTAGCAAAAAGTGACCAAAGAGCTGAGAAAGATCTTATGATACTGAGTGGTTAATAGAACAGCAGATGAAATTCAAAATCAATGAATGAGAAATGAGGCATCTGGGGAAAAAATGCAACTCTAGCAGATGTGCAGTTGTGGACTTAGAAATAGTTACGTTGTGCTGGGGAAAAAAGATGATTCTTTGAAAACACATCTTAGTGCTCAGTGATGGTCAGAGACCCACAGAGCCTTAGGATTTGTTAGGAAAGGAATAAATAGCAAAAGAAAAAGCATTGTGCTTCTGTATAAATGTGTGGTACACATGCGTGTCTACGCATGCAGCTATGATACCTTCATCTCAGAAGGGGCATAATGAAGAGATGAGGAAGTGTGACATAGATGGTCAAACCTTTGGAAGTATTTCTGTGTAGAAGCAAACGGGTGAGGTAGAACAAAGATCTATACAATCACAGGTGATGTGGGGAAGATGAGTGGCGAACAAATATTAATGAATTCTTGTAATAAGAGAACTCTGGAAGCTAGAAGGAAAATCATTTTCAGTCAGTACATAATGAAACTTTACAACTCATTGTTACGAGGTAGAAAGATTAAAAATATAAATGTGTTCAAAATGCAGTCATGCAAAGTGACAAAAGAAAAGCCTGTCAAGTTATATAGGATATAGAGATGACATTTGCCTTAGGAAGGTTCTTTAACTACAGCTTGCTAGAAGTTGTGAGGCTGTAAAATGAAGACACGTCACTGTCTGTCCTCTTGTACTGCTTTGCAGCCAGCTCTGACTGCTGGCCGTTGTCAGAGGGGTAACAGGCTAACTGGATCTTTAATGTGATTCACAGTGGCCATTTACATACTTTGTTTTGCCAGTCATTGTTAACTGCATTTATACTATATACCTTTTTAGTATAAATTTAGAAAATAAAGACATTTTCCAGTTTCTGTTTCATACTTAGGCTTCAAGGAAAAAAAAAAACGGTTACTTAACTTTCAGTGGTATCCAGGGTGTTTTCCTTATTAAAACTGAATCCTTGTTACTCTTCAGAAAAGGGGATGGAATCCAATTACTTTGTAAACATCAGTGAGGTCGTGACTCAGTGAAATTTTTGAGTGTCACGCAAGAGTGAGAGAGGGGAGAAATCTGTTTTGCCTCAATTTCACTTGGAGAGAAAGTGGTGAATGTGAAGGACATGCCGCAGAAGGTCCAGTCTGCCTGACATTTTTCTTTAGTCTCCCTTTTGTTGGCTGCTTAAGGAGACACTTTGAGGCTGCACAAAACAGGTGACTGTTTCTTCCAGTGACAGCCCAAGGTATCTGTAAGGAAAACACAGATTTTCCACCCACTGGGACTTGAGTCTTTCTGTGTCTCTCCTGAGCAGGAGTATTCAGTGGAGTGCAATGTGGGGTGAAGGAGGCACGACTGCCTCTGGCATGGCGGTTAGGACATTGTTTTAAGCAGCGGAGACGTGCCTTCCCTAGTGCTTTTGTTGTCCAGTGCTTTGTGGCTTTGTTTACTGCTTTTTTTTATTGTTGGTCTAAGGTCAACGTTTTTGCATTTCTTGGAGCTGGATCTGAAACCCCAGTTCTGCCCCCTTCTTGCTAAATTTTCTTGCCACAGACTTAGGTTACCCTTTGCATGTCGTTCTTCTGATTTTGAGTGACTTTGCTTCAAAAGGGGAGCTGAGACTACCCTTGCTCAGGGGTACCTAGTGGCCTTGTGGTGTGGGGAATGTAGCTTTGGACCCTTGCGGAGAGTCTACCGCCCAGAGCTTTGCATTTTGAGATGGTGGATGGAGCTGGGGGTAAATACATGTCAACTTTCAGTTTCTTTGTGGAATGTAGACAGAGTTAGAGTGGCTCTCTGCGCACCCTAAATGGCAGTGGAGCCAGAAGGGTGCCACCATCCCAGAGAAATACTTCTTAGCATGTGGGAGTAATCGCTAACATAAGTAGACATGTCTAATTTAGGTATTAACAGGATTTAGGCAAGCTGAATAGCTGCCTGGATCTTAGGCAGGCAGGTAGCATCCACTCAGCGTAAATGCCGATAAATTAATCGGTGTTGTTCAAAGAGCTGAAATGTTTCTCTGATGTTGTGTTTTACTGTAAAATTAAAATGTTAAAAACCCCCTAGAATGATTGTTAGAATTGGCTGTGTATTTAATTGCAGGTAATCAAAACTTTAATCTAGTGAAAGCACAAGTCAAAGCAGGGAGGAGATACATGTGTAACCATGTAGATTGAAAAGGAAGAGCATGAAGCTATACTCACTGAGCAGTTTTTTCAAGGCAGCTTCTTTATAAATTGCAGGTTTTGGGGGAAATTGAGTTAAATCTAGAAAATAACCAAGTTAATAATAAATGCATCTTAATTTTTAGAATCATATAGTACAAATGAAAAATGGCTTTTTTTTTTGCTGATATCTCTTGGTCATATTCATTTTAAAACCAGACCTGAGATGGGTTTTAAGGTATGTGAAATGTTCCTTTAGGGAGCAAGTTACACCTATTGAATTTCGTTTGTACAGTGAGGTTGGTGGCTTAGCAACCAGAACATTTATGGACTAGCTTAATTAAGATGGTTATTCCTGATTGTACCTGAGTGTAAGGCAAGTAGCTCTAATGGAAAACAAATTTGCCAGCCTAATTTTTGTAGGTTCTTTCTCAAGGAAAACAAAACAAAACAGAACAAAAATGACAAAAGAACTCCACCCCCCCCC